TCCCACTGTTTCTGAGGTTGAGCCTTTGTGTCTCCATCTATATAACAGGATGCTAACTACTCCATGTTTACATTAGGGGATATGGCCCTTGAGATCAGGATGTCTGCTCAGCCATGGGCTCCATCTTAATCACTGTAGCACATGGCCCAGCCCAGATCCTTACACAGTCTATGGGCAGTTAATGAATCAGAGATTTTTAGTTTTATTAACAACACAAAAAAATTACAGGAGTGTTACTATCTCCTTTAGAAATATGATATACAATAATGTAGGAATTTTCAAACTCCCACCCTTAGCTGTACAGGGCTAGGGATGGAATGCAGGGTTTCCCACATACTAAGCAAGTGCTCAAATACTAAGCCACACCCCTAATCCAAAAGCTCTGATTGGTTGTTTAAATATATCCTCCTCATACCCAGCTCAAATTTAAGTGGACCCAGAACACAAAGCTTCATTCGTCATGAAAAGAAACTGGGGTTAGCAACCACACTGGGGACTGACAATGGCTTTCTTTAAATAGCGAACTTCCCTGGCACATTTGGACAACTTTCATTCCGAAAGTTATATTTGCCAACTTTCCAGAAGCAACTGCTATTTAAAGCAAGTCATGCTTCTGACAAGGGAGAAGAATTCAGATTCTTCCAGAAACTCCACCTCATGAGATTGGAGCTACATTTTCATTTGGAGTTCCTTAAAAAAAAACTTAGACAAGCTTTGTCTGCCATCGCGTTATCTCAGGATCAGCCTGATCTCTGAGTCACTGCCATCGAGGAAAGAGCATCAGCAACATGACTTCTATTTGTGCAGTGTTCCTAAAGCATCAAGAGGGCTGCAGGTAGCACTCAGTGGCACAGCACCAGCCTAGCCTGTCTGAGACCCTGTGTTCCATTCCCAGCATAGGAGAAGGAGGAGGAGGAGAGGCACCCAAGAAGTCTCAGTATTCAATGGTTAGTTTTAAAATAGCTTATTTAAACCAGGTATGATGGTAATATACCTTTATCAAAGTACTTAGGAGGCAGAGACAGGTGGATCTCTGTGAATTCCAGGCCAGCTTGGTCTACATATGAGACCTTGTCTCCAAAAAGCTCATACATACACTCTTGCTAGAATAAGAATGAACACATTGAATTAAATCAGACTCAAGGTCTGGAATTTAGAAAATATGGCTAAGATGTGTGTGGTGAATGCAACATATACACCATGATCCCCTGGTTTTGGATTTGCAGTTTCCTGGCATCCTGGGTGTACATGCACAGAGAAAAAGTAATTGTGGAGCCCTACAGAGAATGGAGCCAAATGACCAAGGTCAGAAAGGATTCCTTATTACAATGTAGGTTCCCAAAGACCCTACTTCAAAGTATTTTTCAGAAGGCATTAGAGGCAAGTCAAGGAAGGGCCTGGAGGCTATACCTCCCTGAAAGCCAAGGGGCTTCCATCATTACAGCTTGGGGTGGGCACAGTGTGTGGTTCCTTGAGAACTTCAGGCACCTGCATGTCCATTCCAACCTCTTCCTACCTATCCCAGGCTGTGGGACTCAAACATATGGGGTCCATTTCAGGTGGGCACAGTACTCAGCAGCATTTCTGAAGGATAAACTCCACCACATGTCTCATTAATGTTTAACAGCAGTGGGTGGTTAGGGCTGCAAATGTCCTAAGGATAGTGTCGAGAGCTTTACAAGCTTCATCTCACCTAATCCTAACAAGAGCCCCAGCTATGTATGCTGAGAACAGCATCTGATCCGGAGCAAGTGCAAACAAGTGCCCTCCCCATCTCAAGCAGGCTGCTCAGAAGCCTCAATAGCTGCACACAAAACTTCCCATGGACCCTAGCCATTACACTGTTAAAAGCCTCGAGTGGTCTGGGGAGCAAGTGAACCCAGCCTGAAATTTCACTTATCACAACTATAAGAATCCATTCTCCAGAACTGTGATGAAATAACAGAGGATGACTACCTTTACAAAGGAAAACATTTATGTCACAGTTCAAAGGCTTGCATCTGGTGATGCCCCCTCATCCCCCCTCAGTAGTCCTAAGATGAGGCAGAGACAATAGTTATCTCTTCTGGCCTCTCCCTCTTATAAAACACCACAATCTGAACCTTATGCCTCTGCCCTGATAACCTCTCCAAATCCTAGTTACCTTCCTTATAATACCAGACAAAGGGATTTTACTGGGGAGTTCAAGGGATGAACCATATTCTAAGCCCAGCACCAGTTCGAGCCCCAAAACTAGGAAGTGAGAAACTGACAGATGACTCTGGCTTGAGACATCAGGGTGGGCCCTGTCCAGAGTACTGACCTAGGACCTCAGAGGGTAATAAAATGGCCTTGTATTCTGCAGCTCTGCTAAATTGAAAGTATGTAACAATGGTAACTACAACAGCATATAAGGAAACATGGGAAGCCAGCACAGTAAGAACTGAGAGTGTATCTCAAAAGGCACAGCTGAAACCACCCTGCTATGCTGTACCAAGCACCTGCAACTGAAAGATGCCCAGCCACCAGGTTTCTAAACCTAAGGAGTCTAGAACCGGTCCCAGAATTTGCATTTCTAAAAGCTCCCTGAGAAGGCTGCTGGTCCAAGACCATGCTTTGCGAAGCATTAGTCTGGAGATCCCTGGAAGGACAATAGTGTCATTCACACTTTTTGGAACAAGCTGGCATTATCACACAAGACAAACAGATCACAATTTTCTACGTGGCTCCCAGGGCAGCTGCAGTCTGTCTCCTTTTCACACTATGACCTCTGGGGTTTGCAGACACTGGTAAAGGACAAAAATGCTGCTAACAGATAGACAGCCAGACATTCCGAGAAGCTGCTTTCCCTACAGGTCAGCTTGCTGAAGCTCAGTCTCTGGCTCACACAACTCTAAAGGTAGAAGAACAGAGACCAACCAATTCCCTGAAGACCACACCCAAGCCTCACCATAAGGTCAATACTATTCCTTATCAGCTGTAAACTTGGGTGTCCCTGTGGCTTTGACCTCTTAAGCCCAGGGAGGTTTCCAAAGAAGCCACACACTTTCTGCCCTCTTCCTTCAGCCTTACTCACTTCAAAGGCACATTCCATCAATTCTACAGTCCCAGGAACTTCTTCCCCCAAGTTCAAGATTTTGCTGACTCAAATCTAAAGGCAACACTTATCTAGTACGAGACTCATTTAGATTAAACTTGACAAGTAATATACAAAATGGGGGGGGGGGAATGACTGGTCCAAAGTTTCTTTAAGGTGTTGTGCTTAAAAAAAAAAAAAAAGACACCACCTATAATTTCTGAGTATAGTAAATCAAAATTGATACAGCTTATTGATTATCAATAAGTCTGGTCAAGGTTCTGAATCTCTCAGCACAGCCTGCTTAAGTGGTATTACTTCCCTAACTACAAATGGGGAGGTTGAGATTCAGGGAAGGTAATGCAAGTGATAAGACACCAGATTTCACCCCTAACTTGTGGTCCTTAAACAAAGTATCCCCTTGCCAGGATGACCTTCAGTCCCTTTCTTATGCATCTGACCAACCCAAGCCTTACACCCACCCCACTGGAAGGCAGAAGTCCCTGAACCCCTGCAGTGCACCAGAGGCCCAGCCTGTCAGTCCAGCTGGACTTCTCAGTGCTTCCAACCTTAGCAGCACGGAATTCAGGCTCATTGGAAAATAGCTAGTGACTGATGCGTCTTTTGGAGAACGAGGAGGAGGCTACATGACCCAAGCTGGCCTTGAGATCCGCTTAGCTCCTCCTGATAGCCTCCAGAGTGCTGGGGTTACCTGCCTTTGACACTGTAGAAGTTTGTCTTTGGGGTGCAGTTCTGACACCCAGAACTTCCTGCCCACACGCCCCTGAGGGAGGAGATAACCAGTTCCCTCCCAGCCGCTGGCGCGTTCTTCCTGCACCCACCAGGGCTCTGTTTACACTGCAGGGCTTGTCTACTGGGGAGTTGCAAACGCTAGCACCATAACTGATGGTAACAACCTACACACAGCAGCGCTTATCCCGCTGACCTGTCCCTCCCCCTCCACCCCCCAGGCAGAAAAGACTGGGTTCTTGGACCATGCGTTCTTTCCACCTAGGCCGATCTGGGGTCGTAGGCTGTGTGCACTCGGTGCTAGGGATCCCTGAGATTAAAGTCTGAAGCAAGTCCCCCCAGAATCTGAGCTAGGATAGGCCATTGTGACCTCAAAGGGACTACCCTTCGTTTTCAGCTTGAGCCAGCGCTGCACATTTGGGCGCGTAGTTGGTGCTCCGCTGGGCTGCAGTTTCTGGACTGGGTGGGATGCAGGACAGGGTGACGTGGCACAAGAATTAGAGTGGGTGGTGAAGCACACTGGGGGAAGGGGCCAAGGCCTGTGCACAGCTGCTACTGACAGGGGGCCTCCCGAGTCTCGGCGGGACAGAGTGGTCCCCAGCAACCCACTCACCAGACACATTCAACTGGCCTCCCAGGAACCAGCCGATCTTGCCCGTCCTAAAGTCGCAGTCCCAGACAGTGTGGTAGGGGGTGTCCCAAACTAGTGTGTCACGGGCCAAAGGCCCCCAGAAGGCGGCTGGTTCCTGGGCCGCTTGAGCGCTCAAGGCAGGGTATGAGCCTGGCTGCGCTGCGAGGGAAACGCTGCCTAGGAGCCGAGTGGCGGTCGATCCGGGCACGCTCAGAAACCACCCCGATTGTCCGGAGCGCCGATGCAAGCCACGCAGCAGTCGCCCCACGCCGCTGCCCAGGCTGCGCGCCGCCATCTCGCCCGACGCCCCACGCGGGTGCGGGAGCCTGGGCGCCCCTAAGAGTCTCCACCGCCCCGCCCTGGCTCCGCCCCCGCGGCCACCACCCACTACTCCCTGCTTCACTGAAGCGGCTTCCTTGAGCCTGCCTCGGCCCCACCTCTTCTCCCTGCCTGGAGAGGGGTGCGCTCAGTGTGGCGGTGGAGGGTTGCGGGGGTGAAGTTGCTGTGTGCCTAGTGCCATGAAAACCCGCGCTTTTGGCTTCAGGTTCCTGGGTTTCTGATACCGCATTTGCAACTTTCCCTCCTCGCGACAGCAGCTGCAAGTATGTGTGCTGCCCAGTCTCCTGACCAGGAGCGGATTGGAAAAGCAACTAATGGGTCATGAGAGCGAAGAGCACAAATGGTATGGATGAACCTTCAATCGGTTCAGCATTCCAAAGACTGAAGTCAAATCTTTCCTCTCTAGGTGACCTCCTGAAAATGAACCCTTCTCCCAGTGGTGCCGGCCTGTATCACCATGCCACTCACACATAACTGACATTGAGAAGAAGGTTCTATGAAGGCTGGAGTCTGGTGAAAGTTATGTGTGTTATCAGCTGCCAATCTCTGTCCTGGCAGATACCGCTTCTTGCCCTGGGAACCTTCGCTGATTTGAGGTGGTGGGAAGCTATGGTGAAGAATAAAATCAATGCCCACAGCACTGTGGTTGGCACTATATACCATCAGCTCCTTCATGGAGATGAAGGTTTTGTTATTGAAGAATCAAGAATAGAAAGAAATGTGTCTCTACCAAGTACTTCACAAGTGGTATCTGTCAAGAAATTTATCCATTTCTTGTAGATTTTCCAATTTTTATGGAGTACAGGTTTTTGGAGTACAGCCTAATGATTCTCTGGATTTCCTCAGTGTCTGTTGTTATGTCCCTCTTTTCATTTCTGATTTTGTTAGTTTGGATATTCTCACCCTTGCCTTTTAGTTAGTTTGGATAAGGGTTGTCTATCCTGTTGATTTTCTCAAAGAACCAACTAACAAGTGAATATATAATAATAATTAAAAAAATAAACACCAGTGGTGGGGGATTTTCAAGAACTGGTTTGTTGAGTTTTTCAGGCTGGCAAAGACTCCTTCCTGTTGGCTGTGAGAGGTGCAGATAGGTCATTCCCTTGGAGGGAATACTGTGGGTGAGCTTCTGAGAAGGAAGGGCTAGAAGACAGTGCCAAAAGCTAATGCAGACACACGCCCTGCCTGCCCTCAGCCAAGCATTTGTTGTTATTTTAAAACTTAGGTAAGTTGGGCACAGTGGAGTACCCCTGTGGTCCCAGCTATTCAGGAAGCTGAGGCAGAAATCACTCTCTGGAGATCGTGAGTTTGAGAGTGGCCTGGACAGCATTGCAAGACTCTGTGCCAGAAACAAAACATAGTAGAACAAAAGGTTATATAGTGCTGGGAAAAAATAGGAAGCAATCCAAACTAATGAGACTTACAAAACAGCACGTGGCTGACTAATGGAATAGGAAGGTAGCACCCAGCACCCTAACTCTACCATCAAGCCCTTGTTAAGTGGACATATAAAATTATACACAAGAGAAAGATCAACCTCAGTCAAGTGGTCTGAGAGATGCCCACCAACACTTCCTCTTCTAGTGTGTTCTTGGAGTTTTCCTGTTCCATCAGGACAAAGGAGGCTGAGTGGGAGTGTGGCTCAGAGACAGAACTCACGCATAGCATGAGTTCTACGCCCCCTCCCTCCCGTAGACCTAACTCTAAAAAGATGAGAATCCAGGCTTCCTCCCCTTAAATCTCCTAGCTTTACTCCATAGGACCTGGCAGAAGTGATACTTTGATAGTCTTTGGCTACATCCTGAGTCCTCCACAGCCTTCAATACTGTGTTTGTTTGTTTGTTTGTTTGTTTGTTTGTTTGTTTCCCAGCTGCTGTGCTGTGATGGAGTTGGTCCTGACTTCTGGAGGGATCACCTTTAGAATAATACCTCTCAACCTCCCTCACCCCCTCCTATTCATCCCCATCTGAACCATACTCAATGTTTGTTTGTTTGTTTAATTATCATTCAATGGGTTTCTAATTGCATTCACTCCTTCCCTCTCTGCCTAATCAGCCAATCCAGTTTCTTTAAAACAAAGATTAAGGGCTGGAGCTATCTAGAACTGTGGCTCAGTGGTAGAGCTACCACCTAGCATGTACAAGGCCCTGGGTTCCATCCCCAGCATGGGGGGGGGGGCGGAGAAAGAAAAGAAAAATAGTCTAGAAAAAGAAAGCAAAGGTCAGATGAAGTCTGTCTGCACTCAGAACAAGCCAAGGTCTCCTCTACTTCATTTCTAACTCACAACATCATGGTCCTCTTCCCAGGAAGCCTGAGACATGCAGAATACTAGGCTCTGCCACACCCTGCATGTTATCACATCCCCAGAAGATAGACATACTATGCATAGCCCAGTATGAAAATACCATGTTAGCCAGGTATGGAGGTTTAAGCTTATAGTTCCAACTACTGAGTCTGAGGCAGGAGGATCTCTTGCCAGGTGAACAATATAGAATGATCTTGTCTCCAAAAGGAAAAGAGAAGAGAAAGAGGAAAGAAGCCTAAGAGGAAGGGGAAGGGGTCCACCTGATCCAGACTTGCCTCCTCTAGGATGTTTTCTGTAGTGATATATTATTTATGATTTATTAAAGCTTGACTAAGGACTCAGAAAACAAAGTCAGCCACAAGCCTTAGAAGCCAGGCACACACCTTTAATCCAAGGAACCAGAAATTAGGTGTTGGTACACACCTTTAATCCTAGGACTCAAGATTAAGAGGTAGCCAAATCTCTGTCTACACAAGAGTGAATTGGTCCAAAAGAGAATTATAGCTCACACCTTTAATCCCAACATTAGGGAAGTGTATAAGACAGAAGCAAGACCTCAGAGAGACATTCATTCTCCAGCCACTCTGGAAAAGGTTACAGTCTGAGGATTGGTGAGAGCTTGTGGAAACAGGATCAGCCCATTCAGCCTGAGGTAGAAGTAAGAAGCCCATGTCCAGCTGCTTTGCTTTTCTGATATTTGGCTTGAAGTTTGAACTCCAATATCAATCTCTGGGCTCTTTTATTTATTCCTATTACAGTTTTCTCTACCCTCATTCTCTCAGGCTGCAGCCACACCGGGCTGCAGACCTCTAAGCAACAGACACGCTCCTGCCTCAGGACTTTCCCACATGCCATTTGTCCTGCGGGATCACTCTGTCCTAGAAATCCATGTAGACTACCTCCCTCTACCTCCTTCAGACCTCTTCAAACTCCCTTATCCACAGGTTTTTTTTCTGTCACATACGTGGATTCATCACCTCAACACTCATGCCTACATCCACCCTCCACCTTCACTGTTTTCTGTAGCACGTGTACATAAGTTCTCTCTCTCTCTCTCTCTCTCTCTCTCTCTCTTCTTGGAAGTGGGAAGTCTAAGTGGGGGGAAAAAGCCAATTTCTGTGTTTGGGACTTTTGTCTCCAGCACCTAGAATCTTCCTGGAACATATTACATAGTCAGTAGATATTCGTTGAACAAGTGAATGAGACAGTACAGACAGCTTGTCTATCATTAGTTGCTGTGGGCCCCAGGGTTAGTGCACCCTCTATTATCTTTGTTTACTAAGAAATGTGTTTTGACAATCGATAAAAGTATGATCTCTCCTTTTCTCTCTCTATCCCTTCCCCCACTCTCTAATTTTTCACTAGGGATTAAACCCAAGGTCTTATGTATGCTTACCATGCACTGTGACACTGAGCTACAATCTGGTCTTTGACTCTATTTCCAAATAAAGAAACACCACACAGTTTCTGTTTCCTCTTTGTATTGGATATGCACATAAACTGTATTGGATATGCACATGAAGCAGAATCAGCCAGATGGGGTAAAACTGCACTTTCTACTGCCCAGCTAAGAGGCCACGTGGGGCCCTTCTCCAGAAGACAGCCTAAGGCCAAGTTCCTTCTGGAACTAGAAGAAGGGTGAGCCTTACCCAGCCCTGTGTCCACATGTTTCCTTCCTGCAGCTCTCAGTGCTGAGGACATGGGTCATCTGGGCAGTGTTGGCCACACTTTTTCCATTCTGGAGTCTGGCTGTGAAGTCAGCAGAATCCAGGGCTGGAAGCCACAGGGTGGAGGTCACAGGCTGCAGGAAAGGAACCTGGTGCTTGTCTTGCTTCTCAGCTTCCAAGAGTGCTTTTCCTGCACCTTCAAGGCCTGAAGCTAGATGCACCTGTTCTTCTTCTGCCTGGCAGCAACAAGTGCCCAAGGCCAGGGACTCAGGTGCACAGGGGTGGGGGGTAATTGGTAACTCTAGGCCTCCAGGACTCACTGGGTAATTTCCAGGGGTGTGTCCACCTATCATTCCTTTGCCTTTGCTTTACTGGCTCCCACTCCACATCATAAAAAAGAGGCAAAGAATTCCAACACACTTAGGTATTAAAGAACAAAGTCACAACAATTTAAAGATCTCAACCGGCTTTACTTCCAATTCTTGATCTCTCCTTCCATGAAATGTGCCAGGTTTTCCAATGGGCCAGGCAGAGAAAGTAGGTTGTTTATACAGAGAAGAGCTGGAGAAAGCAAAGACAAAATTCAAAGGGTGGATTGTCATTTCAAAATCACTTTTCTTGTAAATTGGGGACAGGAATAGAGAACAATGGGTAAATGATGGTGGCTCACCCCAATCCCCTCCAGCTTCCTGTTCTGTGTAAGGAAGAATGTGCATGGGACTTCTCCACCAGCCCCACTAAGAATAGCCTGGAGTGGGACACATGGTTGTTTGCTTCTCTGTTTCCTCTGAAGATCAGATTAGCAGCCTAGTTTCATCTTTGTGACAATAATTTTAGCATGAGTAACTCCATTTAAGCTATTTGTGTGTAGGGTTGTGGATGTGCACATGTGCATGGTCAGGTGATGGTGATACATGTATGTACAAGTTTGCATGTGGAAGCCCAGAGAATAACTTCTGCCGTCATCTTCGGGGCATTATCCCTCTTCTGTGAGACAGGATACTTCGTTAGCCTGGGGCTTATGAATTAGGCTAGACTGGCTGGCCAGCAAGCCCAAGGAATCCTCCTGTCTTTGTTTCCTCCACCCTGACATTACAAGCACACACAGCACACACCACCATGCTTGGCATTTTTATGTGATTCTAAGAACCAAGCACATGCCTTTGTGCTTGCAACGAAACACTTTATCGACAGATCCATACTTCCAGCTCTTTGGGATCCTAGCTTGTCTACTGTGCCAGTCCAAAAGAACACTTCCTATGATGTTTACATAATATAAGAAACAGTCCCAGGTGAAGGATATAGCTCAGTGGTACAACACTTGCCTGGTACACAACTGGATTCCTGCACAATGAAAAACTAAAACAATTAATAAATCATTTTGGTTGGTAGTGGATACTCTAAGGATACTACGTGTCCTTCGTGTCCTTCATCTTACTCATCCCCACTCCCTATTCCACCCTTGTTTCAATGGACACTTATAGGATATTTATTTATGGGGACCTCCCATGTACAGCATCTGAAACTGAGGGGCCTCCACCAGGCAAAGGCCCCGCACTAGATGAGGTCATAATGCATGCTCAGAGCATAGTGATGCAAAGCAAAGCTGCAAGGATTCCACAACTGAGCAAGGGAAGGGGTCAAGGGAAGAGCCAGAAGCCAGTGTGCTAGGGGCTTCCGGTTTCTCACAGACTGTGATGACACAAAGGTCTCAGGTCACACCATGTAAATGTGCCCTGTAGCAGTGAAGGACTGATGATC